GACTTGCAGTCTTTTTTCACTTCCACCAGATGCCTATGCGGGATTGCTGTCACCTGATGCAGAAATTCGGACGATCACGGCTTTGAAGGCAAAGGGCCATCACACATCACTCTTGAGGTTGGAGTCGACATTGGCACGGTCCACTCCAAGTGTTCATGCCCGGCAACTCTTCACAGACCTGCAAGTTGGAATCAGCCATCCTTCGAGACTTTTTCTGGACACATTGGAGGCACAGGGATATGAAGTGGCGCCTCCGGGGTCAGAAGACATTGTCGTGGATGATGTTGACACAGAGCAGGACGGGGAGATGGAGGATTCTGTGCCTGAAGAAGCAGATGACGGTGCCGGAGTTGGTGACATTTTGTTAGACGGGCAAGAGGGCAGAGTGCCAGCTCAAAGGACTGTAACAATATCGGTACCAGCATGCCCTGCAACCCACCTGCTGAGTGTTCTGGTGCAGACGCTGCCAGACAACAAGATTGTGGAAGATGTGCACAACAAGATTCGTAATGATTCTTTGTTGAACAAAACCCGCAAGCAAACATACTCCACGATTCAAACTGTGATCGAGAATTCAAACGTCTTTGAAAGCCGTTCAATCAGGCATCCGGCAAAAGTCAAACGGGAATATTTTGAAAGGGAGTTTTGGAATGTGGACAGGAAGCGCCAAAAGTTGTGCTTCAGAGGATGTGTCCACAAGCTGCCGTCACAGTATACCGAGATTGTCGGCGACAAGACATGGAACACCCTGTCAGAAGAGACACTCGAACGAGCATCAGCTGCGTGGTCATGGCTAATTCACTACAATGATGCAAGACTGGCATCTCAGCATGTTCCCTTGCGTGCTGGGAAGTTTAGCAGCCTTGCAGCCCCTTTGAAGATCTTGAACCATGTCTTGGATTTGACATGCTATCTCTCTCTTGGGGCAAAAACCTGGGCTGCTCTCATGTGGCCAGTGGTCCAGCATGAGGACCAGTCGACAGGAGAGATATATTTTGTTTTGAAGGCAGAGTGCCCGGATGGTTCCAGCGTCAAGGCCTGCTGGATTCATTTGTATGAGCCCCAGTATTGGGAAGTCATCGAAACAGAGGCAGTCTTCTGGAATGGCTTCATTTGCCTCCGTCGTTGTGCTACAAGCTCAGTGTCACTTCTATCCTATATGTTGCAGCATCCCAAGTGACATGTTTTCATTTAGGATTCTGTCAACTGTCGACCCATACAGTAAATAGTACAATAAACTTATATAAGTTTTGCTGTGCTTGTTTTTGCTGACTCGACTGAGGGAAATGTCACAAGCATGTCGGACTCTCGCAGACTGCCAGAATCTCGCCGAGCATGTGATCTCCCAGACTGGAAACGTAGACGAAAAAAAGCGAAAGGAGCTGCAACGAATGCGCCGTCCAAAGCTCATGAGCCTGATCGCTTCTCATCACCTTCCGGAAGATGAGGATTTCATGCGCAAAATTGAGGCTATGTATTCGACAGCCAAAGATTCAACAGAGGATGAGGATGAGGATGACATTATCATGGGGGACTTTGTTGATGAGCTGGTTCTTGACGACCTGCTTGCTGAGGACAAACAGGAATTTAAAATGGTCTCAGACGCAGTCAGAAAACGCAGAATCAAAAGGGTGCATCAAACCTGGCAGGCCATCAAGACGCAGCAAGCAAAGGCCAAGGCAAAGGGCAAGGCCAAAGCAAAGACCAAAGCAAAGGCCAAGCCACAGGCCAAACGGAAAGCCAAGAGAAAGATTTGTCGCCCACGTATGTTGCCCAGGAAGCAACCCGCGCCTCCTGATGAAAGTGGTCAAGAGGGAGCAGAAGGCAGAGTGCCAGCACCTCCTGCTGAGGTGCCGGTGGAGCCGGAGCCTGATAATCACGTGGAGGCCGCGGAAGGCAGAGTGCCAGCCCCTCCTGCTGAGATGCCGGAGGTGCCTGCTGCAATCCCTGTCCCAGAGCCTGATGATCACGTGGAGCCCGAGGAAGGCAGAGTGCCAGCCCCTCCTGCTGAGATGCCGGAGGTGCCTGCAGTGCCTATCCCAGCACTCGAGCCACGGGAGGTTGCAGTCCGTGGCCCCCAACATCAGCGGCGGCCGAACCGTGTTGACTACCAAGGGGTATGGACACCTGTTCAATGCCCGGAGTGTCCCAAGATCGCTGGTGAGATGAAGTACGACCCGAATCCTGGTGGCACTGACAAAGCAAAATGGTTTCTCCGAGTTCGTGTGACAGACGGCGGTCTCTTGGAAAGATTCGGAACATTTGTTATAGCTTCGATGTGGTTGCCTGATCTGCTGTGTGTTGTGTCACATTACATGAACCCATGTGTGTCTGGCATTGAAGGCGAGTGGAGCCACCTCGTACCCTATCACTGGGGACGTGTGGCTTCCAAGATGACAGAAGCGCAGGCCAGACAACACGTCATTGACCATAGGCCCTGTTGTGGCCCGACCAGGAGGCCTGGCAACAACTAGAGGATTCATCCTGCGCTGCAAAGAAAAGTTGTGTGTCTGTCTGTGTGCTTGCATTGATGGCAGCGGGTCCTGCTAGATTGGAATGCGTCCGAGAGACTGTGTGTTTCTGCTTGGGGAAGACGGATTGCGAAAGCATGTTCGCATTTTCACACATGTGGAATTTGTCACGTGCAAGCACATGGACAATCATTTCGAGTGCCACAACCCGGAAGCCGCACAAACTAGCACATGTGGTTTGAAGCCGTGCGTGCTTGTGACTGAACAGTAGCCGTCCAGAGCAATGCATTTCGCCCCGATCGAACGAGGAGAGTGTTTCTTCAGAGGCGAGCTCTCCCCAATCTTGATCAAAACCGCTTGCGAAAAATTGGCCAAAGCGCCTGACCAGTGGAAACCAGCTGAGAGATGGAATGAAGTTTATGACGACGTGCCTTGGGAAATCATGGTTCGCTACCTGCGTTACTGGCCACGTATTGGCTCCCGCATTACAGGAGGCCTCAGGCTTCTTCGACGGTACCAAGGCCCCTTCCCGAAGTGTTATCAGGTGGGTGAAGGAGAAGAACCGCTGGAGTTGCCGCGCGTTTCTCTCGTTTGTGATTTTGTTTATGTTTGGAACGACGAAGATGAACAACAACGGCAGTTTGTCCTTCAGATGAAACACCTCTCACTTGTTGCCATCCGTCTCGGTGGTCCGGGGGAACTTCCTGACCTTGATGCTGGAGCAATACCTTTGACCGACCAGCTTTGTGCAAAGTTGGGGTGGCAATAATTAATGGATCTTGAGGCGGGAAGGCAGAGTGCCAGCAGCTGGGAAGGCAGAGTGCCAGACGTTGTCGCGTCACCCAGCTGTACCCTGCTTCGCCTGCACGTGATTCGCTTGACAGTGTGGTCAACGCAGAAAAGCGCAACATCCAGCAGTTCGTAGCCACTTCACGCGATTTGTGCATCCCTAATACTATCAAACCCTAAAACTATGGCACTCTGCCTTCTAGCCCCAAACCCTAAATACTAAAGACCCTGAAACTCTAACCCTAACCCTTTCATTACCCTCAAACCCTAACACTATGGCACTCTGCCTCCTAACCCCAAACCCTAAATATACTAAAGACCCTGAAACTCTAACCCTAACCCTTTCATTACCCTCAAACCCCTAATACTATGGCACTCTGCCTTCTAACCCCAAACCCTAAATATACTAAAGACCCTGAAACTCTAACCCTAACCCTTTCATTACCCTCAAACCCCTAATACTATGGCACTCTGCCTTCTAACCCCAAACCCTAAATATACTAAAGACCCTGAAACTCTAACCCTAACCCTTTCATTACCCTCAAACCCTAACACTATGGCACTCTGCCTGCTAACCCCAAACCCTAAATACTAAAGACCCTGAAACTCTAACCCTAACCCTTTCATTACCCTCAAACCCCTAATACTATGGCACTCTGCCTTCTAACCCCAAACCCTAAATATACTAAAGACCCTGAAACTCTAACCCTAACCCTTTCATTACCCTCAAACCCCTAATACTATGGCACTCTGCCTTCTAACCCCAAACCCTAAATATAATAAAGACCCTGAAACTCTAACCCTAACCCTTTCATTACCCTCAAACCCCTAATACTATGGCACTCTGCCTTCTAACCCCAAACCCTAAATATAATAAAGACCCTGAAACTCTAACCCTAACCCTTTCATTACCCTCAAACCCCTAATACTATGGCACTCTGCCTTCTAACCCCAAACCCTAAAGACCCTGAAACTGTAAACCCTGTGCCAGGTCTTCTTCATCCTCGTCTTCTCGGAAAAAACATTAGTTTTTTTGTTTTAAAGTTTTTAAAAATTTTTAAAAGTTGTTTAAAGTCTTTAAAAGTCTTTCAAATTCTTTTTAAAGTTTGTAAAAGCTTTTAAAAGCGTTTAAAAGTCTTTTAAAGTATTTTTAAAGCTTTTAAATGTATTTTAATGTTTTTAAAAGTCTTTTAAATATTTTAAAAGCCTTTTAAAGTTTTGAAAAGTCTTTTAAAGTTTGCAAAAGTCTTCTAAAAGTTTCTAAAAGTCTTTTAAAGTCTTCTAAAAGTTTTTAGAATGTTTTTTCTTGCATTTGAAAGTTTTTAAAAGTCTGTAAACGTCTTTAAAAGCCAACTCTGTCGAAAAAGCCCTGTGGATCTAAACCTTGTGGTTCTGGTTCGGTGCAAAGGGGCAATGATATATTCTACTGCGGGGGATCCATTCCCCCATTCCCTACTAGGCACCAGACAGATGGGTGTTCCGCTGGCTCATGCGAGTACCTGGGCTCACTCGACCAATGTCATACTGAATGCCAGGCGTCATCACTGGGAAAACTATGTAGGCTACACACGTGTTAAAATTTGAGCTCTTCGCCCTGGAGTGTTGGTCTTGCCCCTCAATGCTGCGCCTCCCATCTTAATCGTTGCTACGTCATGCATGTGGTGAATCCCACAAGTATCCCACAGTGGCTTCAGAAAGGCAAGCTTAAGGAGACGTCTGCGTACGAAGAGACACCGTGAGGTGAGAGCAGCCCGATCTTTGTCCTTGACGCTGCCTGCGGGTGCTATTCTGGACGACCTGTCTCTCAGCCCGGTCCCAAGCTTACTGTATCGCTCCATAAGGGTACCAGAGGGGTGTTATGTGTGGTCCTGATGGGGTGCGAGAACCCTCGTTGTTGTTTTGTATAGGGCGGTCGGTTTCCAACTGATGCTAAACCGTCAAGCCCGAACCCCAAAGCGAAATGTAGAAGCCTGGATAGAGTTCCTAATTCCTACTACAAGTCTAGCATGGGATACTCCAAAGCCCTATGACAGTTCAGATTGATCTGCTAGGGTTAAGGGTTTAGGGGATCTGAAAGTCCTATCATGTTTTTATGAAGGGTTTAATGAGGAGTTTTAGGTTTTCGGGTGGCGACAAAGAGAGGCGTACAGGGGTTTGAGTTTGGTCTGCATTTCTACTTCATTTTTTGTGGAAATGGTACGGGTTCAGGGTTAAGCTTGCTAGTTAGGAGCCGAAACCCAAAACGTAAACCCTAAAGCCTGAAATAGCGCCTTGACCTTCGGATGAGTCTGCTTCCCCAATTTGTAGCTGCGTCTGCAAGCCCTGAAGGACACTGGGTTGTGCACTAGCGAAGTTAACACTTGTCCTCTAACCTCAGTGTCCTTCTACCAGGCTCCACCTACAAGGTATTCCGACTGTAGCAGGAAGGAAAAGGGCCCTCAAAAAAAAAAAAAAGAAATAGCACCTTAACCCGCAACTCCGTATATGAGCAAACCTTAAACCGGATACTCGTAGCAGATCCTAAACCCTCAAACTCCTGAACCGTAAACCCTCAACCCTGAACCTACATCATGAACCCCAGTCCCGAAACTGTGAGCTATCTTCGTCAGGTCAGGTTCGTTCTGGATCGGTTGCAGGATTTAGCGGAGTTCGAGTGGTTCGTACAGGGGTAGCGGCGATCCTACTCGCAGTCCCCAGCCCGACTGGGGTTTAGGGTTGAGGGGTTGATTGAACCTCTATAATGAGAACCCTTCCAGAGCTCGGGTAAATGTGAAACCCCTGAACCCCCCCCCAACGCCCTCCAGCAAACGTGCATCATATGGCTTTTCGCCTGTTCAAACTAACGCCATAATTGGGGCACACCATTTGCCTTTCCAGGTCAAGCTCCGCTATGCAGTGGTTCTGCGAGAGGAGCGCGTGCGGGGAGGTTCACGTACTATGCGCCAACAGGGGTGTCTAAGGTTGGGAGTTTAACGTTAATGGCATGTTTTCGAAACCTAAACCCTGAGTCTTGAATCATGTAAATCCTAGACAACCTTAAACCCCACCTCAAAGCTTTCCCTCCCTGCCGGGCTTTACAGAGATCCCAAGCAACAGGATCGGGTTTAGGGTCTAGTGAGTGCAGGTGACTCAGAGTGGCAATCTGATCTGCTGGCACTGGCTCGCATGGTGATCTAGTATAACCCTAAACCCTAGTTGAATCATGCATGGATAGAACGAGCTAGATTCCGGCTTCTTCACCCTGAGCGGGGCGGGACATGAATGGTAGTAATTATAGTATGGTTACGTCACGGGGAAGTGGACGGTTGCACTACTGAGAGGCTGTACTACTGAGAGAACATCGAAGCAGGGGATAGCTTCACATATATCTGTCTTTGCCATACAATCCTCAAGCATAGCGTCCTTGAACACCTGAGCCTTAGAAAGCCGTAGATGCCAAACGCTACTAGTACTAGCTACTACTTATTCTACTTGCCACTTACTATGTACTCCTTACTACTTACCCCTTACTGCTCTGTAGGGCTTGAGGCTTCGGGTCTAGGGCTTAGCTCCAGGCCTTTAGGCTTTATAGGGTGGCGAAGGTTTGGCTTCGCGGCCTTGAAGGGGTTGCAGGCGGTGGAGGTTTCAGGGGTAGCCTGCAGTTCTTTGGGGCAGCCGGCAGGACAGCCCCGTGCTGGACGCGAAGCAAGACTACGAGTATGCCTGCGCCAGCAGTGTTGGCAGTGGAGACCATGCAGGGTACCTAAACCCTATGCTTCTGGAATGAACGACAGCCGACTATGAGTGTACGGTGTCTCGCCGCGCTGGGTACAGCTGAGTTTCCCTTAGTTGAAAGGGTCGATCTGTTTGTGCCAGGTCGTGGATGAGACGGAGCATGGTCTGGATGAGGTGCAAGAATCCCCGCACTTTGGAGTTCAGTAATTACTTACGTTTGCTGCAGGAGTTGCGAGCCGGGTAGCTGGCAGTGTGTTAGCTGCACGCTCACTTTCTCACCTAGTGTTATGCAGCCACCACTTATGCAGCGCCGGATCAATTTCCTGATTGCCGCCACAAGCAGCACCTGGATAGCGCCATGGCAATCTCTTTCCTCGTGCTGTTGTCGGTGATTTCAGGTGCCGCCACGCAGTCGATTGTGGGCACCGTCCTGCCGCGGTCCTTTCTCACGGGTGCCTGCGGTGTGGCGATCAAGGGTGACCTTGCTTTTGTTACCGGCACGGATGAAGGCATCACCGCGGTCAACATCAGCAACCCAGCAAACCTTGTAGCCGTGAGCGGCATCAAGGACGAAACCAAGTTTTACAGGCCTTGTCGCCTTGGCATCTTCGGAGACTACGCCTACGTCCTTGGGGGTAGCAGCGGAATGCTGACAGTGGTGAGTATCGCCGACCCCAGCAACCTCGCCATTACGTTCACCACTGGCGACGATGATGAACTGGACGATGCGGGGTCCATTGTCTTCGCAGGTCACTACGCCTATGTGTCGAGCGACGAACTTGTCAAAGTCTTCGATATTGCCGACCCCTACAACGTCACCGCCGTAGGTGTCACCGAAGACGGAAATCTTCTCAGCGATGCTGCAGGCATGGTCATCGTCGGGCACTTCCTGTACGTTGCAGCAGATGACCATGTCACGGTGCTCAACATTGCTGACCCCTTCAATGTGACAATCGCATCCTTCATTGAGGATTCGGCATATTTCGCGAGGCCTCGGGCATCGTCCTCGCCGGCGACCACATCTTCGTGGTCGAGTATGCAGGTGTAACGGCAGTCCACATTGCCGACCCCTATAACATCACCATCGCCAGTTCCATCATAGATGCCGACCTCTTTAGCAGACCGAGGGACATAGCAATTGTGGGAGAGTTCGCCTATGTTGTCTCTGATGGGCGGCATGGCGAGTGGAAGATCATCAACATTTCGGACCCCGACAACATCAGCATTGCAGAGTCCTTCGACAGCAGCGCGGCATTCACGAGAGCGGAGGACATGATTGCTGCAGCTGGAGACTGTATCTATGTGCCAACTTCATCCGGTCAAGGTGGGTTGGCAGCCCTCACTATATCCGAGAACACCAACCTTACCATTGTGGACTTGATCCGTGACCCAATTGGCACTGGGGGTTTCGAAAGGCCCCGAGACTTTGCGATCGCGGACGACCACGCCTATGTCATCGGGCCGGCTGCCGTGACAGCAATCAGCGTCGCCAACCCAGATGATCCGAAAATGGTTGGGAACATCGCAGCCTTCGAACTGACTAACGCAAATGTCATTGAGGTCGCCGGCGACTACGCTTATGTCATCACCCCCTGGTGTCATGGTCAGAAATTAAACGAAATGCTGGGCTGTGCTTTCGGCATGGTAGTAGTTGCACATGAACCCACACGACCGACGCCATAACTCGGTCTCAGATTTGGCCAAGAAGACCCAGAATAATATTGAAGACCCAAACCAATCCTAGCAACCAGAGCGAAAGTGACACCCGATTATGATAGCAGGTTGCGGAATCTCCGATAACGTTTCGATCGGCTAGGCTTAGAGTTGGCTACTCACTCGCTGTTGTCATGATCATGTAGTGCGACCGTCGCACTAATGACAAGCGGCATGCTTTCCCATATCGTGATTTCGTTTACGACCCTGGCTTAGTTCAGCCCATAAAGATCACGAATTTTGCCCTACTTCAGGCCAAGTTTAACCGTGGTCAACATCGCCGACCCTGCCAACCTCACCGTCGCGGGCGTCCTGCAAGATAGTCGACTTACGGGGGCTAAAGACATTGAGATTGCAGGGGACTATGTCTACGTCTCCCTGGGAACCAGCAGTGGCGGTGTCGCGGTTGTCAGCATCGCAGACATTGGCAATCTCACCATTGCCAGTGTCTTCGAAGACGCACTGCTCGGACCAGTTACGCAGATGACGCTTCGTGGGAACTTAGCCTATGTCACGTCACAGTACAACGAGGTCTTGGCTATCGTGGACCTTACCGATCCGAGAAACCTCACCCTTGCAGGCATTCTCCAAGACTCGGTCCGCTTCAAGCTTCTTGAGGACATCGCCATATCATGTGGTTTCCGAAAATAGGGGACCCTAATATAGTACCCTAAATGGTAGGATCTTAATATTATGAGGACCCCCAAATAAGGTAACCTTAACTTCAGGACATCGCCATATCAGGGGATTGTGTATTCGTGAGCGACGGCTTCTCGCGGGGTGTGCTTGCTGTCAACATCACGCAGCCCAGCAACCTTACAGTCGTTGGCACCGTCACAGATAACGAGTTTAGCGGGGTGGGCAGCCTGGCTGTGTTCGGCGACATCCTCATTGCTTCCAGAGATGATGGGTTTACTATGGTCAACATCAGTGACCCTGCCGAGCTAGCCATTGCTGGCTCCTTCTCTTCCACAACCCTTCTTGATAGAATCCGACGGGTGAGGGTCGCGGAGAATTACGCCTATGCCACGGCAGTGGACTCACAAAGTTTCATCTCTGCGGCTTGTCGAGACTACTACGTTTACGGCTGCGTCTACGGCGACGACAACCACTTCGAGAACCTCAACGTGGTCCTCCTTCCAGCCGGCAACCTCAAGAACCTCGACATCGTCCTCACTCATGTCAAGCACCACGTCGTCTTGGACAGCGTCTGCTTCGACCACGTCTTCTTCGACGACAACGCTGAACTCGACACAGGCAGCTGATCTTTTGAGGGAGGAAGAAACGGATGAAAACATCCCAGCGTACGCCATCGTCGGTGTCGTTGCAGTCTTGGTCATCGGCGGCCTTTGCTGCTTTGTTTTGTTTTTCGTGCTCAAGCGCAGGCGAGGGGATCCAAACGAAGGTGATGCCGAGCCATCCACCAAGCCAGTGGAGCACCCTGAAGCGGAAGAAATGTCTGTGTAGAGCGAGAGGCTGCGCTAAGCGCAGTCAATCTTTAACTCTTCGGACGATCGAGCGCCGCTGAATTTTCCCGCACAGCTTTCGAGCCATGCCCTCGGCTCAAAAACTTTTCGCGGAAGAAATGACTGTATAGAGTGTCAGCTTCCCAAGCGAGGTTCTGCGCTAAGCGCAGCGTAAATAGCCTCGCATGATCGGACAAGAACCCATGTTGAAGTTTCCCTCTCATTCAGCTTGAATTGAGCAGCGCCCTCTCCCGGTTTCTGATTCTCAGAACGGCTGCCGGCTGGAAAGGAGTGGGAACACCGTTTCAAAATGTGAGCGGAGGCCACCGGCCTGAGTCCGCAGTCCGATGTAGTATAGGTTCCTGAGTGGTACCCTTTTGCCCTTTCTATTTTAGGGTCCCCCTATATTATGACCGAATAGTTAGTGAGAAATAGGCACCCTTATTCTAATGGGGCTACTCAGGAAAGTACTAGTGTTCATCTATCCACCTGCTGGTAAGATCTAACAGGTGCTTCCGAGCTTGCTGAACGAGCTACTGCGGCCACTGCACCGTGGCCAGGTGGACGGGTCCCTGGACTACCAGATGTTATTAGATAATTGGGTATTTGGGTTTAGGACAGTTGTAAATTTGAACCCCGCCCAAACCATAATTAGACTCTATAACCCTTACATAATAAACTTCTTGGAGGATCATGGGACTTAGTCACCTTAAGTGGGTTATAAAGAGTTGTGAGTATAGTTACTATTGGTTATAACCCGACTAAGTCCAATGATCCTGAAAGTAAACCTTACCTCTAGGTTGCTGCTTTGGTGTTTGTGTGTGTGTGAGAATATCACAGGTACTTCGGCCCTTTCAACGTGCAGACGGACTTAGTACTTCTGCTGACTTGGAAGCTGGGATTGAGAATCCTAAACCCTAAACCCTAAACCCAAACCCTAATCCCTCTTGTATGGCACCCGTGCGGATCCCGTACAGTACTGTCTTGAATCGAACTTAAGGGAGGTAGTGGTTTTGAATGCAAATTTCAGCATTGGGGTTGGCTTGACGTTAAGGGTTTCACTAAGGACCCCTCTTGTCTGTGGCTGGCCAAATTCCGGTGCACGGTATGAGTTCGAGGGCACAAAAAGTAAGAAGCCCAACAGCAGCATCCTAAACCTCTATAATTTGCTGAAGCAAAATTCCGAACAAGCCAGTGCAAGCCCACACCCTCCGAAACCTTCGGAAGAATAAACCAAGAACCTTTGCCACCTGCAAGAGCTAGATCCCAGCCTTGGGCCCAACTTGTGCCACAAGCTTAACAAGAGGCGAAGCTGCTTGACCTCAACACTTAAAGCCCGCACGCCCCACACCTCCACTCCTTATGTTATAGAGCGATCATTACAAGTAGAATGTGGGGGCCTAAACTGTTACCAATACTATTCTGGGGATGATTAGGGCCCCTATATTAAACCCTAAGCCCGGACTTTTAAATCCTGAAGGCCGTTAAGGAATCCTAAACCCTAAACCGTTAAGGCCCTGAGCCCTCAACCAAAACTCCGAGGTCTCTACCACGACGACCCTCGGCAAGATCTTTCCAGAGAAGGTGGCCGAGCAGCAGATGGGGGAGGGCTAATAAGAAGGTCTCTACCGCACACAGGGTTGAGGGTGTCGAGAGGCGGGTTGATAGTCGGGCTTTGCAGGTTTCCTTTGGTATACTGGTCTGTGTGGGCTGGCAAAACTTGGGAGCTTCTGAAAAAGGTGACCCTAATACAGTACCCTAAATAGGATCTCAATATTTTAAGGACCCCAAACTTGAGGTATCCCTAATTTTCGGAAACTCCCACTAGGAGCCTGACAATGGCTCTTGCCATTCTTGATTGATGCTTCTTGTGGGCTGCGCACTTGTTGGCTGCTCAGCAGCACACCACTTTGTCCCTGACCTTGGACATTCTACCCTAGACCCTAAACCCTACTTAGAGGATCATGGCACTTAGTAACTAGGGGTAACCATACTTATAGTTGCTTAGAACCTCACTTGAAGGGTAATTACTGTAAGGGCTTCCGTTCCGGGGCCCTTTCGTCTCGGCGCCGTAATCCCAGCAAGTCTAAGGGTTCCCATAAGAGTTCCCGGGCAGGGTCCGTATTCGAAGGGTTCAAGCCGAACGCATCTGAGAGTAGAAACGACTGGGTAAAGTTAGGAATTCGGTTTTGGTATGGATCTTGAAGAGAGCAGGGTGAGAGTCAGCAGAGCCAAGTTTACGAAGGAGGACCATGGCAATCATAGTTCGTAATCATAACTCATAATCATACTCATAATTCATATTCATAGTCATTTTCATAATCGTGACGATGGATCTCAGATTCCCGTCAAAGCTCGGAAGCCCTCTGAGGAGGGTCTCCGGCAGACCTGGCAAAGTCGGAATCCAGGCGGCGATGCGCCCGAGCCTTACAGATTTTGCCTTCGCCTGGTGACCTGGTGGTTGTCTTACCTTTGGTTAGTAGGGAATGGAGGAATGGGGTGCAATTATTACTACCACACCATTCTTCCATTCTCTACTAACCAAAGGTAAGTTGTTTGGGTTTGGGGTGTTGCTTGGCTTCAGCCTTGACAGGATGGATTTCTTTCCTTGGCGAACTGCGGAAGCGGGTGGGTGGGGATTTTCGGTGCGAGTTGTTCGTTGCACCTGCATGGCCTTGACTTACGTTTGGGTCCACTGCTCCGGGTTTCGTTGCGTTTGGCTATGGTAACAGCAGTTTCATGATGACAGTGCATGGAACATGGCATTGCTGCCACCGCAATGGCGACCATGGTGATATGGGAGTCCTTGACGGCTCTGGAGCAGCATCAGCATGCTAATGATGTAGTACAATATTATATTGTAATATAGATTGATACTGCTTTTGTTGGCCCTGACTGTTGCTGCTGCTGTCTGCAGGTCCCCCACACCTGTTGCCAAGGCTAAAGGGGCTACACAGTGCAGGTGCTATGGACGTCTAAGCGACTCTTGCTGCTTGCTGTTCCAGTTTGCCTAACAGGCCTGAGGACATCTAAAGACGTCTTCCAAAGACAAAGGCCAAACCCCGACCTGCCTGCGGTTGGACCCCATGTGTGTAAAACAAGGGCTTGTAGTAGCCTAGGTCCTGAGCTTCTCAACCCAGTTGGCTGGGAGCTCAAGCACAGCAGTTGCATGCGGCCCTTCGTGTTGCAGGTACCCGTATCGTGATATAGGGACCCACGCAAGCGCATAAGCATACGGATGATGTGTTGGACAGAAGGGCCCCGATAAGGGGTCTCCAGAAAGCAGGAAGCCAGCGAGAGGCCAAACTGTATTAGTTGCGATGAGCTACTGCTGATGATGCACAGCAGAGCGCCCATTCAACGAGTCGAGCTTCAGCCTACAGTATGCCTGAAGCAGCTGGAGCTCAGGCGCACGTGAATCCGCTGGAGGTTGGTCCTTCCCTTTCGTCGCCTACTACCCCGAGGTGCAAGATTTCAAGTCGTACGGCTTCGGATCTAAAGGCTCAGACGCGGTTGAGGGCGAAACGGCTGCGAGTTTTAATAGTCGTGGTTGAAGGTTACAGGAGCTAGGCTTGGGTATTTTTGTGGGAGCAGGGCATCACTCCTCAAAAGCGTTACTGCAGCGGGAAACAGACCATTTCGTATGCCAACTTTGAGGAGCCAGGAGCCAAGCTGCCAGGTCTTTCGCGATCTCCGAGCCCGTGGATGGGGTGCCTGGGTCCTGGGCCATCCAGAAAATGACTGGTCATGGGAGCTTTCTAGGGTATAGCTGCTACTACAACTACAACTACAACAACAACTACTACTACTACTACTACTACTACTCCTGCTACTACTACTACTACTACTACTACTACTACTACTACTACTACCACTACTACCACTACAACAACAACAACTACTACTACTACTACTACTACTACTACTACTACTGCTACTACTCTTTTTAGCTAGCCAGCCGGCTAGCTAGTTCTCGTCCCGCGGTCGCTGTTGCCACTGCTACTACTGCTTTCATGATTGCATGGCCGTGGTCCCATCTTGTTGTCGTCCTTCGAACCCGGGCAGTCCCGGTAGGCGGCCAAGGTTTGGCCTTTCGCAGTCAGGCTTTCAGATTTGATTTCAAGTCTTGAGGATGTACAGTAAGTTTAGGCCTTTGGGGTCATACACGTTTCAGGCTTCGGTTATGTGGCTGTGTGCCGGGGTTGCGTCTAACCTGCGTCCAGTTTGCAGTTTGAATCAGATGCCTTTAAGGAGTTGGCAATGGAATTCAGCAGTTTGGAGAGTTCCTAAGATTTCGAGAGACAAGATGGGTTAAGTAATCCTACTTACCGCACGCCTGCGAAGTATCGAAGACTTCTCCATCCCTGGTGATGATGGCGATGATGATGGTGATGATGATGATGATGATGGGATCGTTTCTCTCCCGATGCGGCTGCTTCTGGTTCAGCCACGTTCAGCCTGCCAGTGTAAAGCTTTGTCAGAAATACGGTGTTCCTGGCCAAACGCCATGGGGTGCACCAGTTCAATGGCAATGCTGGAATCAGAATTGGTAGAAAGTGCATTCTTCAAGGATTCCAAGGCGAAGCAGATGATTGGACGCTCTGGGAAAGATGAACATGTCACTTGTGAGGAGGACCTGCTGAGCTTTAGCACGAAAGCATCTCAATCTAGCTTGACCTCGGGGACCTGCATGCCACCTTGCCAACCAAAGGGCACGGCTACCATAGAGCAGATGGACGCGCTGTCGTCGTGGTACCTGGAGAAGAGACGTGTCGCCGTTCCTACCGGACTGATCATCC